TCAGGCATGGAGCAGAGCATGTCAAACATGATGAAGCATATAAATACCATAAGGAGCCATCTGGTAGAAGACCAATCCGAGGAGACCAATATGGATGATCACGTGAGCGAGTCGGACTATGATGGTGGGAATATGATGGTGGGAATATGATGGATGATACACTTCCTGATGCCTTTGAAGACCCACCTATGGTTGAAGATGATTAAGAAGATAGTGGTGTCAAGTTGTTTTTCCTAGAATACAAGAAAAAGTTTCAAACGGTACAAGTTGTAACTGATAAATTAAAGTCACTGATCATTGCGATTTTCATACAGAAACTCCCCAACCGTTTGATTTACCATTAGTCTCAACACCTGAGAGCAAGGAGCAGATTAGTCATGACATTGATGCAGCCACTGAGGTAGGTTTGGGTACTGAAGATGAGTTGGGAAAAGATGATCACATGCTCCAAGAGTGTGGGGGCGAGATAGATGATGTCCATAATGAAGAAGTCCCGCTCCACAAGCAAGAATTCCCTTCTTGTACACATGCACTCTTACGTGGTTTGCATGTGTACAAGAAGGGGAGCATTATGTCCGATCAATACACTGTTCGTTTTAGTCTCCATTAAAAAGAGGATGCTCATCCTTTTGGATTGAATTGTATCCGATAGAACCTGGACCGTCCCAAGCCACGACAGTTCCAGGAGACTATTCCCATATTGCTCTTCTTCTTCTTCTTCTCGCCTTAAGCTATCCGTAATTAGGTACCTGCGCCGCCGTCAATGGCGCCGCCGACCTCCACAAAACTAAACCCTACGCAGAGGGTTCCGTCCGCCTAACCGCCCCAATATTTGTTAATTACTTTATTTTTCAAAAACTATAGTCCGCGTACTTTATGACACGTATAGGGGTGGTTAATTCGGTACGGTATACCGAATATTTTATCGCATACCTTTACCATACTGTAAACTTTCGGTATGCAAAAATACATACCGTTACCATACCGAAATTTCGGTATACCTTGTTTCGGTATACCGAAATTTCGGTACGGTAAGGTACGGTATCAGTAAATTATCATCATTTAATATAACAAATTATTATATGTCAAATGAAATAAAAAAATCAGTGTTAATAGTGATATGCTAAAATCATTAATGAAATTAATTATAAAATACCAAGAGATAACCTATTTGTGTTCTATTCAACTTTGAACAAAAAAATATTATATATATGTATAGATATTTCAACACATGATCTATGAAGATAACACCACATTTTGCTAAAATAATTTAAAAACATAAATATAATTAAAGTAACACCGATCTCCAACAAAAAGTACAAATAATTCAAGAAACATGGCTATAAAGTCATTTATCCTTGAATTAGTGTTGTGTTTCTAGTTATTTTTATAATTTTAAGGAAATTATTGGCTTGGAATTACGGTATGACGGTATACCGGTATACTGCTTATTTCCAAAATATATACCGATACCTTACCGAAGTAATTCGGTACGGTATCATACCGTACCACAAGTGTCGGTATACCAAACATTTCGGTAAATTCGGTATTTTTCGATATGGTTAGTCTTGTATACCAAAATTTTGGTATTTTTTCCCACCCCTAGACACGTAAACATAGATAGGTGATCGAGTTCACATTAGTTTATAATTTCTTATTTTTATTTACTTTCCTAAATCTTTTTATAACACCTAAACATAACTTTTTATGGAAAATGACATCGTAGTGGGCCACTACTAGTGGCAAATTAGTTGACTAATGTTTACCCCTTTAACAAAGTTACAATCTATCTCATAGACGATATATCTCCGGTCTACAAAAAGGCGAGATAATCGGCAACCATGTTTACCTTTTTGTGAAGTTCATATGTTCCGTAGTATTTAAGATATTAATATGTGATATCCTTTGGTTTAATTAAGTGAAATATTTGTATTAATATTCTAGTCTCTTGATATAATGCTATTATATTCACATTTCAAACTGTCATTTACATATTTGCTATTTGTTCCATGATAGTGATCTTTTGTTGCTATATATTGTTAGTTTCTTTTGTTTATTATCACTTTTACTATTAAGCACTTTTTAAAAATCACTTATAAAAACATTTACTATTATCACCGTTAAATAAATTATTAAAATATACCGTGCTTTGTAATGTGCAGTATGTTTTAGGAATTTATTTAACTGTCTTCCCGATTGAATTTTGAGCTGAAATTTGGCACGTATAAACTAGACTTGATGAAGAACATGCTCAAAAAGTTTCATCATAAAATTTCACCGGGAACCACCCCAAATAGTGAATTCCGCACGGAGATTCCTTCAGGAGCTCCTGACTCGAACGAGACTCTCTCTCTCTCTCTCTCTCTCTCTCTCTCTCTATATATATATATATATATATATATATATATATATATATACATACAATTAATATAAATGTGGTTGGATTCTTAATACTTTGGTGAAGAATTAGTTAAGTGAAGAAAAAGAGGAAAAAGAAGAAAAAGAGAGAAACGGATCAAATAAGGCCTTCTACTATTATGAAATCCTCACATAAGACCATGCACTTAATAAAGAGTCACGTAAATACGTCTACTTATAAAAAACAACCGGATGAGTCCAAATGACCCGTTGACAGCCTCTTAATCCTGATTTTAGCTTACATGTCAATTTTTTTGACTTGTATTTCAACCAATCTTAGGTAAACATTCGACGTGTGCCGTATAATCTATTATAAAAAGATGGTTTCAAGAACACTAAAATCGGGATTAGGAGGTTGTAAATAGGTCATTAGGACTTATTTGATTGTTTTTTACAAGTAGACGCATTTAGATGACACTTTATTGAGTACATGACCTTATGTGACGATTTCATAATAGTAGAAAACCTTATTTGACCCTTTTCTAAAAAAAGAATAGAGGATTCAATAATGAATGAGATGACCAGATAGATCGATGAAGGAGAATAACAGACTGGAGAAAAAGATAATTAGCTGCAGTTTTTTGAGCAAAACAATGCCGAATTGAGACCGGTATACCATGCACATACTATAACAAGCCCATGGTACAATTTTAGAACATTGAGTGTATGCTTTAATTATGTTCCTTTCGTTTTGTCATATTGTGTTGCATGATGTTGCATTTTATTGCATCATCGATTACTTTAATTTCTAACTTGTTGTTATTTAGTGTATTGAATTGTTTGTTGTTATCTCGTGTTGATTTTTGCAGTGTATTTTTCATAGGTCTTTGTTTATTTTGATTTCTATTTTTTATTACTACCTTCATCCCAAAAAGAGTTGCAAATTTGACTTTTCTTAGTAAAACAGTCTCATTTTGTTCATTTAATTAGGATGTCAATTTTTAATTATTTTCTAATTTGGAGTTTACAACTTTGAAGATATTTTAATATAGTTTTTGAATATGTAAATTTTAATTATTAAAAATTGAATTAATTATCCATAAGGAGGGTTGACTTTTATTATTGGTTGACCCAAAAATGTTGACTTTGCAAAACAAATTGGGACGGAGGGAGTACTTACTAATAAACCACACATATATAAACACTTATAATAATAATTTTGGATTCATGAAAATTAACAACAGGAAACATGAATAAACAACAAATTAAATAATTTCCAATTTATCAACAAAACGCCAGAAACTCATAAAAGCCACACATAAAAAAAATAACAGTAAAATAGCATGGTGAAAACAATTAAGTTTTGTCTCTATTTAAAAAATAAAATAAAAAATTCATATTTTGTATTTTATTGTACAATTTTTAATCATTATTACAAATTTCATACACTTTAATTATTTATGTTTTCACATTCTTAGTTTCAAAATCTTATTTTTTGTGCTTTTTAAAAACTTACACGTGATATAGTTAAATACTTTTTAGTGTTTTAATAATAATAATTATTATTATTATTATTATTAGTGATATAATAATTAATAAGGTGTACAAACTTAAGACTTGGTCAATAAATTTGGGTTGAATCGGTTGCAGTAGTTTAACCATTCCTACAGCAAAAAGAATCATTTTTATTTACAACAGGCAAAGAGTAAAATGTTACTCCGTACTACATCAAAGTCGTTGTAGTATAGTGGTTATTATTTCCACTTGTCACGCGAGTGACTCTGGTTTGATATGATCCCGGGCAACTGCGAACAAAGTTTTGGTGACTTTAATTTACTCCTTTTTCAAAGTATGTGAGAAGGACCTTAAGTAAATATTTGAGCAAAAGCAGTATTACAGTAGTACTCCCTCCGTATCACATATATCTTCTCACTTCCAAAGTGGGTGAGATTAAGAATAGTGAAATGTGGTATGAATTATTGAGGGTATGATGGGAAGATGGTGAAATAATGTGATGGAATTAGTGCTGGACTCGGGCCGGTTCGGGCCCGGTTCGGGCCTGGGCCCGGCCGGGCCAGGAAAGGGGAGGCCTGAGCCCGAACCGCCGGTGGCCGGTTCCGGGCCAAACCGGGCCGGGCCGGGCCAAACCGGTTCTCCTATTTAATCCCCTACCCCTCCCCCTCAATCCCAAACCACCCCAAACCACCTCAAATGGCCCAAAATACCTATTCCAACCCAAGACTTAAAAAATTTTTCAAAAAAAAAAAAAAAAAAAACCGGCCCGGACCGGGCCCGAACCGGCCGGGCCGGTTCACCATATGGAAGGCCCGGGCCCGGAACCGGGAACCACCAGGCCGGTTCGACCCGAACCGCCGGTGGACCGGGCCACCGGGCCGGGCCGGTTGCTACAGTGGCCGGGCCGGGCCGGTTCTGGGCCGGGCCGGTTCCGGGTCGGGCCGCCCGGCCCGAGTCCAGCACTAGATGGAATTAAGGATAAATCCAAAAAAAGTAGGTGTAGTAGTGTATTATTTTTTAAATTATTGAGGGTATGATAGGAAGATTTAGAAATGGGAAGATATAAATGTTACGTCCAAAAAAGGAAAGTGAGAAGATATGAATGTTACAGAGGGAGTAGTATTTGTGTGAAAGGACAATAAGTAAATATTCAGACAAAGGTAGGCCATATATTACTGACTATACGGTAGTAGTAAAATATATTACAATGTACATTATTGTATCTTGCATATGTGGAGACTATAACTTATAACTACTTGCACATGAGGAAAGTCCATGAGGGTATGTTTGTGCAATACAATATGAAAATGGGAAAAATGGTAGAACAGAATTTGATTCCTGCAAAAATGTGGAGCTTCATTCCAGCACACTTTGTACTTGTGTTAGAGAGAATGAAGAGATCAGCTCTCTTCCAGTTTCTTTTCTTTTTATACATTATTATTATCGTCATTCATTTGTAGAGTGGTGATGGTAGGATGAAACCCTTATGTGTAGTCCATTTGGTGCTTGAACTCTTGGAAACTTCATTAGCTCATCCCCCCCTACTTCTTCCCAACTGCATTTAACCCATCAATAATGTTAGCCATAGTTTATAATAATCAACACTTGGGTTAAACTAAATCAAAAGATTCAATCAAATTGAATCAATTTTCAACGTGATTTTCATCTTGGGTTATACGGAAACAGTCTCTCTGTGCTTTAGTACAGAGGTAAAGTTGCGTACATTCGACCGTAGATGGAAGCTTTGCAACACTAAGGTAATGTTGTTGCAATAACTCCGGTTTTATATGACCAATTTATTCTACTCATTATCCAATGTGGGATTGATTACTTATAACATTAAGTAGCAAATTGTTTATTTGGTGTTTTTACTTTTTACCCACCTGTATCTAGTAACAAAGTAGTGAAGGAAAGTTGATATTTCCGCAATTCCAAGTTCCTTTCCAGGACACTGCCTGGTCCCTCCTCCAAACACAAGGAAGTTATTTTGGCTCTCTAATCCCTTTTCCTGCATTAAAAAGTAAAACCCCATCCATAAATATGTGTTTTTGGTTGCTAAATTTCACTAATTGAGAATCAAACTATGAATTGTTTTTCATTAATTATTACTACATACCAGCCATCTCCACGGATTGAAAGTGTATGGATCCGGATAAATTTGAGGATCATAATTCACCTCTCTTGTATAGACATAAATTTTCCATCCTTCTGGTATAACAAAGCCTGCAAAAAACGAAAGAATTTTCTTTAGGAAATTATTAAGTTGGATGTATGGGTTCTTAGGGAAATTTCTTGGATTTAGTCTCAAAGCTTAAGTTTGTACCAATTATTACTAGCTATAACTATAGCTCTAAGCGCAGTAGCAAATCATGTCTTGTAACTACTAAATGTACCGATACTGATTAAGATTTTACCATCGAAATGTGTTATTACTGGCAAAGATTCACCATAAAAGTTGTTGCTCACATGAAATTTTTCGTGAGTAATTGTGTGTTCCGTTTTAGAAAAAGTATCAGGCATGGACAAACTTTTCAGTTATAATATATATGTTCAAGTGAGCAAAAGTACTAAACTGATGATGGATACACACATAAACTATGGGGCTAAATCATTAGTTTTGTTAACCGATATATCACTATTGAATTTTAGGCAAAAGGGCCCGGGGAGATGATAGGGCATTTGAGTCCATTTTCCCAACCTACAAATAGAATAACTTCATTTTGGGGAAGAGATGGGCCAGGATTGTGACAACTAGGCTGGAATGGTAGGTATGCCATGTGGATAATTTCTTAGATACTTCGTTTTTTCGTTTGTATGATAAAGACAGAGAGATACGTAGTATAGCATACTACCTCCCTCCCGGCTCCCATTAATGTGTTCGTTTCTTTTAACACAATTATTGAGAAAATGAAAATGATTGGAAAATAAAAAATTGTGATAAAAGTTTGAAGAGAATAAAAAAATGATATGAATCATATATTTTCTCTCAAAAATTGAAACATACTAAGTAATTTGAGACAAACCAAAAATAAAAGTAAGACACAAAAATTGGATGGAGGATGTATCAAATATGGCCCTCCCTTAGCGTATTAGATCATAAAAATGCTACTTGTACACGTCAACTTATACATTTGTTTACAAATCAACTCAATGTATTTTGTTTGTACAAATATATTGATTTTGCATTTTAGTAAAAGAAAGTGTCTATAACCCCAAAAAAGTGAATTATGTGTGCACAAACTACTCGGGATCACAGACATTTCCCTTTATTAAAAGGAAAATCAATTTTGTGCACAAACAAAACAAATTTGACGTGTAATCACGGTGTAAATCGACATGTATAAATAACATTCTATTCTTGTTTAATCATATCATATTATCATACCCTCCAATTTGCATCCAACCACACACAAAAACACCAATAAATAGAGTGATGTGGACTGGTTGTTTGACTCTTGACAATTGCACAAACGAACAATAAATGTGACGCACGTACCATTGAGTTCCATTTCTCGAGTTGTCTTCCTCAGCACTCCGTTCACTATTGTAGCTAGCCGCGACGTCTCAAAGATCACCTGCATATTCACCTTTTTTATTTCTCCCACCACTTTTTTTTTCCTTTTTTCCCGTCCAAACAATCCCTAAAACATATCATAATCTTGGAACTTTTTATGTTACTTATGTACTCAACGCTTACCGCGCGCGTAAATCGCATCGATTTGTAGTCGTCGTGGTCAATCGGGTCGTTCGGTCCTTTCTTTTCTCTAATCGCCAAATGCTCGTTCTGAATATATATAATAATAAATCATTGTATAATATTTTGAGCTTACTGATGTTCTTGATGATAAAAAAACCTATGTTGCATGGAAACACGAAAATCATAAGGAAACAGAAAACGGGAAACGTCAACTTTTACTCAAAAAAGTTTATTTGGAGAGTTTCCAATGAGTTTTCGAAACGAGAAATGTACTTTTTCTCTAGAGTTTCCATGCTACATAGAGAAAACCTCAATCTTAGTATCTACTTACCCTTAGCTCTTGGAGAGCAAGGGGATGATCATGGAGATACTTGACAGCCATCATAGAAGTGGTGGAAACAGTTTCATAACCAGAGTATAGTATTGTTATGATTAGATCAATCATCTCATCATCACTTAGTTTGTATCTATTTTCCTCTTGATTCATCAACAGCAATCCCAACATGTCTTCTTGTCTCCTTTCCGCTGACCTTCTTTCCTTTATCAACTTTTCCAACATGCAAACTATGTTTTTCCTTGCCTGTTACATCGCCGCAATACTTTTAGACTAAAACGGCCACTTTTTATATAAAGTTCTCAAAAGTTTTTTTTGTTACTCCCTCCGTCCCTAATTTATCTTCCAAATAGGTTTGGCACACAATTTAAAATATTAGGTATTGTGTGGTGGAGAATTATGCATAGGAGAGAGAAATGTGTAATAATTGTTGTTATGAACCACAAATTCTTTGCCAAAAAGGGAAAGTGAAAGTTTTAATTGGGACGTACGAAAAAAGAAAATTGGATATTTATTTAGAAAAGGAGGGAGTAGATTTTTTAATCTCATTTACCTGGACCCCACGACGGTAATTGGTGTTTGGGAGATTAATGGGGAGAGAAAGTGTTCCTAGTACGAGCTTCGAGAACTCGGACATAAATTCTTCAGCAATGGAGCTTGCCTCAATGCCAGCTATTTGCTTCAGAGCGGAAAGAAATGCCATCTGGAAATTATATCATTTCCCAATGTCACATAATAACCCGAAAAATTACACTAAAAATAGGGTATTTTTGAAAAATGACATAATTATTTAATTTTTTTATTGAAAATTGACATAATTATTTAGAGAAGAGTTAAATAAGGCTTTTCGAGTATATTTTGAAAAGTAATTTTAATGAGTTAATATAATATAATGAAATTATTGATGATAATTCTGAAGTTATATGTTTATTATTTTAATATTTGATGCTTTTGTCATATAAGAATTATAATTATTTCATGAAAAAGATTTGATAATCTTTAATTGGAATTTTCAAAATAGACAAGTAAGAAACTTAAATTATGACAAAGGGAGTACTACTTTGTCAATCCTATAAAACTTTGTGAACATTCTTATTTGTTCATCTAAAAAAATTTGTCATTTCAATTTAAGAAAACATCTCTCATTTGGCCATTTTAAAAGTTTTTTGCCATTTTCATTTAAAGTGATAAATACGTAGTGTGAGATTACAGTTATTTCACTTTATATACACTTATTATCTACTTTCTTATCAACGTGCAAGTCAACTTTGATCATGTTTTATATGTTTATGTGGAGGACATAAGGAGTATTTTTGCAAGTAGTGCTTACCATCTAAAGAGTATTGTCATTTTACGACATTAGTTGTCATATTAATGTCTGGTAATGTTGATAATATGATTTTAAGACGATATAATCCAACTTTAAGGGAAAATTGTGGGACTCTTTTTCGACTAAGAAAAAACCGCATTTTTATTTTTATTTTGAGGAATTATGAAAAAGAAGAAGAAAAGAAAAAAAGAAAGAAACCTTGTTGGTCATCTGTTGAATGTCGATGACGTGGGAATCCCAGGAGGTGACGTGGGATCTCATGAACTCATCAATTTTGGGCAAAAGGGTGTGTCTGATCATGGTGGGGCTAATGAGGGAGAGCAAAGCCCCTCTCATGTTCTTGTGAGCAGCCCCATGAACAGCTGCAATGTTGCATTTTCCCAGAATGTCCAGCATTGACTTTGGGTACCCGGGAACCAGCCCTTTCGCCTCATTCCCAAGTATGTATCTGTTCACCTCTGGATCCATTGATACAATGGTCGGGCACCCTAATATGTGTGATTTGAAAAACCAACCATATCTGCAATCAATAAATATCAAGTCACATATTAATACTCCCTCCATCTCAATCTTAACTCATCTTTTGACTTCTCACATATATCAAGAAATGAAAGTGTAAATTCTTGCGGTTGAGAGTTATGAATACATTGAGAAAAATGAGGATGTTTGAATCTACTTCTTAAAACTGATTCTGCTCTTTTAGGAGCAGAAACTGATATTGGATTGGAGTGTTTAAGTAAAAGTGCATAAATGCTTCTAAGTAGTTTAAATTGTTGTTAGAAGTAGTTTTTGAGAAATTGGGGTAACCCGTTTTTGAAAAATTGATTCTTATTTTGCTTTCAATAAAGAAATAGAAGTAACCAATTCAAAACACCTTATAGCTGCGTGGAGTATGAATAAGAACTCTTTGTAACAAAAAGAAATGAAGTTTGTTTTGAGACAAATGGAAAATGAAAGAATGTCCAATTGAGTACAATTATTCCCGTGAAAAATGAGAATGATAAACATTTTTATTTCATAGTGTGCACATTTGTTTATTAGATATAGCAAAATTTAGTTTATATACTCCACAAAAATGCCACTGTGTTCCATCCGAAAAAATGCACAATTTTCAAATTCACCTCTCTTGTCAATAATAAAATCACATTCTTAATTATTTGATATAAATATATATGGTTATTTTATACATATAGATAAATCACCGACCTTGCTCTCTGGTTCTTCATGAAGTTGGGGCCTAGTTTTAGAAACTCAGATGTCTCACCAAAAACAGGCCAACCCATAGTGCCAGGAGGCAAGCTTTTCTTCCTGTACCTAACATCATTCCACTTTAGTAAAGCTGCACTGAGGAAACAAACCCCAGAAATGAGCATAAAGAAAGAAAGGAAGAAAGCCATTGTGGTTCCCAAGAGAGAAATGGGGAGTGGTGGAGGGTGCTTAATTGGTTTGGTTCTGCCTGTGAGGATGGAGGGGCTTAGTCTGTTGTTTATATAGAAGAAGAGATAGTCAAGTGCCTTACTGCCTTAGGATTAGTTCTTAGGTAAGGTCCATTTTGTGGTGGAGCCCGGGGAGACAAATGATTCGAATTTGGGGTTATTGTAGAAGTCATCCTTTTTGCATCTCTTTCATTTTTTTACATCATACAATGATTAGATTGGAATTTTTGGCTAAATATGTTGTATAAATAATTAATTTGTTGAGAATGTGTTTTGAATAGGGGGGAAATATCTAAATACGAGTAACCAAACACAATTGACGTAAATAAGAGCTTTAGAGCTCGCTTGATAACCCCTTTTTCGGTTTATCGGGCTGAATTGTGTAATAATAAGAAAAATCAATGTTGAAGTTACTTTTGTGACTGTATTGGATGAAGTTACTGTAGACATCGATTTAGCTGTTTTTTTATATAATATTTTATTTGTTTTATTTTTGAACGTAACTGGCGCTTAAATTATCAAAACATAACGTAAACAGGATACAAAATGACAAAAAAGTATTTTATTTGACGTCCGCTTTAGAACCAGACTTTGAAAAAATTACCTCTGTAGAAGTAACGTGCACTTTGTCGTGAGTGTACTCAAAATAAATTCAATACTAACACTTATACGTAGTATAGGTGAAGTAGAGTTCGTATCCACAGGGAAAGGAATAACTCTTCTTTTTATTTAACTAGTAAATAAAGGGGGGTTTTGATTGTTGAGAGATTTAATTAAATTAAACACGAAGATGAACGAGTTATGTGATTTAATTCAAAGATAAAAGGGACTTGATATTGCTACTTTACACTTGTTGATATATTTTAGTCGATCATTGTTATATCTATAACTTATTTCCTCTCGAATACTCAATCGAGGAGTATATCCAATTCATCGAGGATAGTTATTAACAACGACCGTTCATTAATAACCCTTACTATTAGTCAAGTATAGAACAACGCCATATACCGACTTGATAGTAGCATTTAATCTTTTAACTCCTTGATGAAATCAATTGAGATTGATAACCTCAACACAACGGTTTCGGTTTAACCAACAAAATTAATCCCTCTTAAGTTTATTAACCACGACCGTGCATTAATAAACCGAAGTTACTTACTTGTGAAACTATCAACGATTAACCATCGGTTCGTTGATCGTTTCTAGTAATAATTAATATGTGAAACAAAACTAATTGATCCTTTAAGTAATGCTCAAAATATTAATATGAAATATGAATAGGAATTAATTAATACTCAAGGAAGAATATTAAAGAAGATGAATTCTACTATAGTTAATATCAAGATGTTAACTAATTGTCATCTTAGTAACACTCCCCGATATTAACATAGAGGAAGGAATAGCTATTACTAAGACCAATGTCAAGATGTTAACTAATTGTCATCTTAGTAACACTCCCCAACATTGATATAGAAATAGTATTTAAAGGAAGAATTAATATTCAAGGAAAAGAAGTTAAGAAAATAACTCACAACTTTAATAATCAACAAGCTTCAAGAGCAATACCAAGAAATGGAAGTTTAGCTCCTCGTTTGGAGACTAAACATGCTAAAAGAAATATAGAGAAATGCTATTCTAAACTGAGCTTAAGAGTATATAGGAATTGGTGTCCTCAAAAGTGAAGGAAAGGAGGTGTATTTATAGGCTTTTTGAGGTGCAGGTCGGGTACTCGATCGAGTATATACATATACTCGATCGAGTATGTGTAGAACTTCGAATTCGATCCATACTCGATCGATATTCGGGTATAATTTATAGCTATACCCGATCGAGTATGTCGGTATACCCGATCAGGTATAGACACTCGATCGTGGTAAAATCTTCCCTGCATGTTCCTTTGTTTTCGGATCGGATCGGATTTGAAGTTTCAACAAGATACTCGATCGAGTATATGTATATACTCGACCGAGTATAGACCAAAATCAGGATCTTCCTTTTTTGTCTTGTGATTTTGCACTTTCTTTCCACTTTTGGGGTTTACCAACTATCCTTTGAGTGATGGTAGACCTGTTTGAGCTCAGAATAAACCTAATCTAAACATTTTACAAGAATTTAACAAACTAAACTATTACACCGAAAGTGTGTAGTTTCCGAAATGCTAAACTACAAAAAGTAACTAAAAATGCAAACATAAACATGGAAATTACACGTGTATCAAGAAGCAATATAATTCGTTGACCCCGCTTTGGTCTTAACTGAGCCAATGACTTGCAGACCAGACTCCTCGTCTCATGTCTTAAGTTCTAAAGTTCTTTTGCTGGAAAAACACAATACAGCTAACGCTAAGTACCAATCCAAAACAAAACGATAAGTTTTTACTTTATACGGATGGGTATTGCTACACCCGCCCCGCCCCGCCCCCGTTATAAATACTCCGTATATACTTAAACATATATATCCACACACACACACACACATATATAATGTACACACATATTAAATTAAAGGGAAAACTGTCAAATAGGTCCTCGAACTTTCATTAAAAAGTGAATTAAGTCCTTCTATAGGAGACTCTGTCCGGTCATCGCGATTTGGGGCTGTTCCCGATGGAATTTTTTAATGAATTTTTTTGAGCATCTTATTCATCAAGTCTAGTTTACTCATACCAAATTTCAGCTAAAAATTTATTCGGGAGCGCATTCAAATTAATTCGAGAACGCAAAAATGCGCAGTTATCTTCAAGAATTAATTTGAATGTGTTCCCGATTGAATATTTAGCTGAAATTTGGTATGAGTAAACTAGACTTGGTGATGAAGATGCTCAAAAAATTTCATCAAAAAATTCCACCGCGAACTGCCCCAAATCGCGACGGTCGGACAGAACCTCCTATAGAAGGACTTAATTGACCTTTTTATGAAAGTTCGAGGACCTATTTGACAGTTTTCCCTAAATTAAATTATAAGTAAAAAGTTTTTACTTATTATAAAGAAGAACATACTTAGTGACCTGCCAATGACATTTTTACTTTATTTTTTATACGGAGTATAAAAAAACTAAATCTTTATTTTGAACTCTTTAATTTTTTTTTTATTTTTCAGTTTCGAATTTATGATGCATTTAGTGTTTTTTTAAAATTACTTTATTTATTTAAAGTTAATAAGGATTAATTTGTTTTTTTTTGTAGGAATATGATGGGTATTTTGCACATTTTAAAAGTTCAGGGATGTATATGCTCCTCTACATAAACATCAAGAGTATATTTGTTTTCAAAAATAGAACAAAGATATATTTATTCTCAGAACTATATTACAAGGGCATATTTAAACCTTTTCCCTTTTTATTATTGTCACTTTGAAATATCATTCACATAATACCTTTAATAATAACTACAGATGTTGTCGATATTTCCACATTTAACAATTTTATTCGTAACTGACTCATCAGGGGATATTGAAGTTAAATTATAATTAGTTGTAAGAGAGAGGAGCGGCTATGACATGCGGAAACCCTAGCCACTGCCTCCTCATTTTATCTTATTTTCTTCTCTTCTTTCAATCTTCTTTGATTACGATAATGAAAAATTATCTTCTTAATCAGTGTTTTCAGTTCTATTCATCTGTTTCTTTCTCAACGTTGTTTGGAGATATTATTTTCGGTAGTGAAGTATCGTCTGCCAGATGTATATTCTCAGCCACTTTTGGTCAGGCATTCTTGTGTGCTAAGAAGAGATTTGCACGGATCTCTTCATCAATCAAAAATATGATTTTCTTGAGTGCCGATATTGAGATGGATCCCCCCTCTTGAACCACCACCATTCAAGGATGATGAGATCATTTGGATTGCTTTCTTTCCGGTGGCTGGTGAAACCAAAACAAATTTTATAGTTGGCTCCTTACCGGTGGTTGGACAAACCGATATGTTTAAGAGTTTGTTTCCTAATTATTGTGATCATAGCCGGAGCAGTCAATCTGTAGGTAGAGTCTACTTCTTTGCGAGATTAGCGATTCGGCATTTTCGATTTGAATCGTCCGTTTCTATTGTTGAAGGCTTTGGCTATTAATGTTTTTGTGAACTCCATTCCATGATAAATATATCTCATAGCCAGCTTCACGTCCCCATCGACCATTCGAAGTGTCAACATAAGTGGTCCTCCGATCCAATTTTAAGTGGCACTTGATGGATATTCAAAAGCACGACATCTGCATAATTCTGTCACACTGCTTATCGTCTCTTATTTGGAATAATTTTTTTTTGGGACGAATCGGAGCGACAAAGGGCTGAATCTCAGAGGATCGTGGCAGCAAGACCACTCTACCCAATATTTCTTGTAAGAAACTCCTTACAATTGAAAAGTTTAATTAGCTTATTTTATTGCTCCTTTAAACTTTTGAATGTGAAGAATGTTAAATAATACCAAATGATAAGCACTAAAAATAAATGTACTGTGCAGTGAATGAATAAGAGAATCGGTTAAGTGAATTCATTTCTTTCCACTGCTAGCAATTCAGTTAGACAGTTAGTTACTCTAACAACTGGTATCAGAGGGAGGCTCAAGAAAGTGAAGAAGGAGATTCCACGTACGAAGGAGATCTATGGCAATGAACAATCTAGTCTCAAATCTAGCGAATCTCGATGGTAAAAATTGGCGAAGATGGATTTTCGGTTATCAAGAAGTCCTTGAAATTGTAGAAGAAGGATTTTCCTCCATCACCGAAGAATCCACAGAAGCTTAAAAGAACATCGACAAGGAAAACAAGAAAAAGGTTTGTATGGCTATTTTCCAGATGCATCAGTGTTTGGACAACGCTCATTTTGAGAAAATTGCCAACGCTAATACTACTACTACTAAGGAGGCCTGCAACTCGCGAAATCGGTTGTTTCTTCCCGTAACATTTTATTTTTTCCTAAGTGTGTGTTGTTCTGATCGCTCCAGAACAGAAGACATTTTTCTTCTTCAAATCGGGATTTGACTTGCACCCCCTGCGCGCAAAGAGAGTCTTGCCACCTAAGAATCTT